CCTCTGCCACACGCTCCTGTGGTCATGATGGACTGGCCCAACCCAGGCCCAGAAATATGGAGTCAATTGAGCATGGACTGAACCCTCTACAACTGTAAGCCAACCCCCCCCCTTAAGTTGTTGGTGTCAAATATCTTGTAGAGTCATGAGAAAAGTAACTAACCCACCATCATAATTCAGTAAATTCATCCATATACTTAAGCCAATTCAATGAGCTTTGTGCTTCTGGAGAAAGCTGTATACCATCACAAAAAGGAAGGAGTATTCCTACACACCTAGGAGACCTCTAGAACAGTACAATCCATCATTTGTGTGTCTGTGTTTCTTCTCTGCAATGTGACCTGTGATAGAAAATTATGTTCAGGTGTGTGACTTCTGTTTATGCCACATTTGTTTAACTCTGTGAAGCTGTGGTTCTTTGCCTATCTAAAACATCTAGTGGTCCTAATAAAGAGCTGAATGGCCAATAGCAAGGCAGGAGCTAGGGTAGGCAGGGTTGGCAGACAGAGAGGATAAATAGAAGGAGAAACAAGGAAGAAGAGACTGAGAGAACAAGGAGAGGAGGTCTTCAGGGGCCAGCCACCCAGCCAGCCATGGAGTAAGAGTGAAAGTAAGATTTACAGAATAAAGAGATAAAAGCCCAGGGGGAAAGGTAGATGGATTAATTTAAGAAAAACTGGCTAGAAACAAGTCAAGCTAAGGTCAGCAAATAATAAGCCTCTGTGTATGACTTATTTGGGAGCTGGGTGGAGGAATCTCCAAAGAGTACAAAAAAGGCAAAAAAAGAGTAAACCAACAATAGTAACTCCTGGGACTCACTGGGTCCCCCTCTGCCTGACTTTCTATTAATCAGTATACTACAAAGGCAGATAACTTGGTCACTAAGAACTTATAAGCATTTGTCTGAGGCCCCCAACACAAATCTTAACTTTTCTAGCACAAATAGAATACCCTTTAAAAAGGATTCGGATTGTTTTGGTTTGAGAAAGTACTCATTCTAGAACAACTGACAATGGCCATCTAACCACATGAACATTTCAAAGTTGGGTTTATTTTGTTTTGTTTTGTAGCCAGATCTTGCCAGGTGACCCAAGCTGGCCTATAACTTTGGATCAATCCTCCTATGTCAATGTCCTGTCTTTTTTTTTTTTTTTTTTTTTTTTTGGTTTTTCGAGACAGGGTTTCTCTGTATTGTTTTGGAGGCTGTCCTGGAACTCACTCTGTAGACCAGGCTGGCCTCGAACTCACAGAGATCCACCTGCCTCTGCCTCCCGAGTGCTGGGATTAAAGGCGTGCGCCACCAACGCCCGGCCTCAATGTCCTGTCTTTTAACCACTCTCCAACTACCCATTTATGTATGTATGTAAATACAACCTCTGTTCCATATTTACTACTCAGTATTTCAGAAAACCCTCAAATGATCATGGCTCACGCATTTCCCACTCTGCTTCCTTTGCCTCTAATGAACCACTATCTTCACACTACGCATCCTTCAAAGCCTCAGCTAAAAGTTCACAAGGCTCTTATCCTAGATTGTATTCATTTATAAATACGTCATATCTTCCCCACAAGAATTCAGTGTCCTACAGAGTCAGAGCCTCAAGAGGTTCATCCTTCTTTAGTATCTAATGCAATACCTTATGCTTTGGCAGAACTCAGAAAATGACTGAGAGACGAATGATCCTCTAGGAATGCTCATTGCATAGGGACCACCTTCATTAAGTAGCAAAGGAGGAGGGGTGACTTTAGAATCCAATCTGCATTTGCTCTCTGAAAGAGGAAGAACCTACCAAGAAGCAAGCTATCTTCGTATAGCCAAAGTCAACTTGGAAATAGAGATTCCCACTCCAGGGCTGAAGAAATTAATTCTATGGGTAAAGCCTGCTGATGGAACCCATGTAAAAATGGAAAGAGAAAACTGATTCCACAGAAATGTCCTTTGGCTTCCACACATGAGCTGTATGTAGCACATACATACACCAACACATACTAACAAGAGTAATAATATATTTTTAATTTTAAAGAACTCAGCTTTCTTGGTAAAACAGAAAACCATAGGAACTTTAACGCAACATGCTATACTGAGCCAGCTTTTCTTCAAGACACTACGAAGGCAATAAAAGCTGCATGCTTTCATTTACTGTCTTCAGTTAGAGGGAAAAGACACAGATCGAGAATCGTGGTTTTAGCCTGCTCTTCATACTCACACAATCTCAGACTCCACTCTTCCGGTCACAACACAGCATGGCATTGCATACCAACACAACAGACTCAATGCTCTCAACATGGCTGAGGGATGAAATAGAACAATTTCAAAAACAATTTGATACAACCAGTACTCCAAGATAAACTTGACACAAAATCTAGTGTTCCATTCCTATGTCACTGGCCACGCTTGAATCTACCAGGAATTATGGCAGGGTTATGCTCTGAAGTTAAGCCTGCTCAAGAAATCCAAAGATTCCTGGTCCTACAGCCCAAAGGTCCATGGTTTCTATAGATGCACTACTGTAGACCTGACAGGGCCACTGGTGCTTATGTATGCACTTCGTACACTGGAGACAATATACAGAAGACATTCAAGAGCCAAATATGTTCTTTTGTAAGTCATGCACTATATTTGACTGATAATAGTTCTGAAGCCAACTCCTATGATGCCATAAACTGGCCAAAGGAATTTTAGATATATGGAACTTAAAGGTCTCCTATTTGCAGTATCAGTAGGAAGATAACAATAGTTTACAGAAGATTAACTGTGTGTCAAGTTCCTTTTGAAACGACTTATCTGATCATTACCATAACCTTCTCTACTTTTTATACTCAGGTAAATGTCAGAGTCAGGACTAAACCCAAGTCTAGCTAGCCTTAAACACACATCTTTTCCATGAAACCACACTGCTTCTCATCTACCTTGCTCTCATAAATACCCTTTTAAAATTCAAAATACCAAATGCAATATGGCCATCTAGATTGGGCTGCAAAACAGAAGATAGTAGAAAAATAAGTGAACTCCAAATAATAAAATCTGGAATTAATTAATAATTGTATATAATATGCAAATGTTAATTTGCTCATACACATGTACCCCTATAAGGTGTCAATATTAAGGACAAGTATGTGAAGGACAATAGAAATGTTCTTTACTATTTTTTGTGACTTCTCAGTAAATCAAAAGTATTTCAAAATAAAAGGTGTATTTAAGTCAGGCAGGGGTGGCGCACGCCTTTAATCCCAGCACTCAGGAGGCAGAGGCAGGCAGATCTCTGTGAGTTCCAGGCCCGCCTGGTCTACAAAGCTACACAGAGAAACCCTGTCTAGAAAATCAAAAAAACAAAACAACAACAAAAAAGTATATTATGGGCAAAAAAACAGCAAGAATATTTTGAAACTCAGATATTATCCTGAACTTGATAGCTATCTACCAAAGATGTCACTTCTAGTTTCATCATATTAGAATAGTATTTTTGGAAGAAAGAAAGATAGATAGGCAGAAAGAAAGAAAGAAAAAGAGTTAAGGTTAGTGAGATGGCTGAACTGGAAAAGGCACTTGCCAATCCTGACCACCTGAGTTCAATCCCCAGCGTCCATTTGGTAGAAGAAGAAAATCAGAGAACCAAGTCCTCAAAATTGGCCTCTGACTTCCATACAAGTATCACGGCTGCCATGTACGTACACACACACACACACACACAAATAAATAAATATTTTAATAGAAAGATCAGGTTCTGTATCGAATATCTTGGCTAACCAACAATAAAATAAAGCCTGGTAGCAAAAAATGAAAACCTTACCAAATTAATGTGACAGCAGGTGACCCAAACAGCTGCTTTACAATATGCTGAAACAGGCAGTTATGACCAACTGGGAAGCAGAAACAACACAAATCCACCCTGAAGTAGAGGCTAGGGGGAGGCTTTTAACTGTTAGAATTTTGAGCAGGAGCGGCCACAGACAAATCCAGCTGACCCACAGTAGCCACAGAGATAGACAGACTCATCCTTTCTGCGTTAAGACATAATGCAAACCATGAAGGAAAGAACCCCAACCAATGACAGCAACACATTCCACCCCATACTTCAGCCTCAAAGCCTGAGACCAGTCTTCCATTTGTCCCCATTGCATGGCAAGGGCTGCTGATCTTGTACTGACTTCCAAGATGCCTGCATATAGAGATGGCATCTTCCTAGACCTGTCACCTTCAAAGAGAAACTATTTATCCATCCTAGCACCACGCTGGTGGAGGAGGACCTATTGGTGCACGTATTTGGAGTGTTTCTAAGGTATGTAGACTAGTGTTTGAAGACCATTATAACTTAATGCTTAATTCTCTTCCACACTACTTAACGAGGATAACCATCCAGTTTCATTTTCTATATGCTTGTTATCGGGTTCATCTCAGTAAGGGTTTCCAAGCCTTCTGGTAACTTTTTCTTTCTTTCTTTTTTTTTTATGTTTCTTGCTTTTGTCATCTCTGTGGGCTACACACACTGCTTATTTCAAGGTTTTCAAGCAGTTCTCTCCCTCCGGAATTTCCATTACCACCAAGGCTTTTCTCTCAGGACATTTCTTACTGGTGTTCTTGACCCTTTAATAAAGACATCCCAAAGTGGGGGAGGTGAGGAGTGAGGTGCTGGGAAACTTCGGGATTAGTCTCTGAAGTTTTGTCATCTACATACTGAGGGTGGTCTCTTTGTTAAAAATGTAGCTGTGCAGACCGTAAGGGCCACACGATTAATATTCCTTTGGGAATCGCAGGACCTGTCTTTGAAAGAGCTGTCCAGTTTGCAGGCGACACTAGGTAACTGCCCATTCACAAGCACGGCCAGAAAAGAACGTCGGTGTTTTCCGGCAGGTATAGGTGCCTGGGGGTCAGGGAGAGAGGGAAAGGCAAGGGGTGGAGTGGGAGGCGGGTGATCGACAGGGATAGAAACAGTGTCTCCTCCTCCTTCTGAATGTGAAATAGCCAATGGGGTGGCGCGGCCGGGCCGGCCCGGCGGCCAGTGCCATATAGTATGCAGCAGCCGGAGGAGTCACGTTGGGGGAACAGCAGAAAGCAGCTATCCGTTTACACTACTTTGCTCTAGCAGCTATCTTAATGGTGACTGCGTGGCCTGGGGGAAACCTGATCGGCCAGATCCAGCCGAAACCGGGAGGGAGGGAGTGGGCTTTCCGGAGGGGGAAGGGGGGAGGGAGTCGAAGAAGGAGGAGTAAGAGAGGGGGAAAGAAAGAGGAAAAGAGTGTGAGGGAGTGAGGGAGGGAGGAAAATAAACAACAAAAAAATGTCCTCTTCCTCCCCCACCGGGCAGATTGCAAGTGCGGCGGACATCAAGCAGGAGAATGGGATGGAAAGCGCCTCGGAAGGACAGGAGGCGCACCGAGAAGTGGCGGGGGGCGCGGCGGCTGGGCTGAGCCCCCCGGCTCCAGCCCCTTTCCCTCTGGAGCCGGGGGACGCCGCGGCTGCCTCCAGGGTAAGCCGGGAAGAAGGGGCAGCGGCGGCCGGAGCGGCAGATCAGGTACAACTCCACTCGGAACTTCTGGGCAGGCACCAGCACACAGCCTCCGCGCAGCCCCCGCTGGCCTTCTCGCCGGACCATGTCGCCTGCGTGTGCGAGGCGTTGCAGCAGGGGGGCAACCTGGACCGCCTGGCCCGGTTCCTGTGGTCCCTGCCCCAGAGCGACCTGCTACGTGGCAACGAGAGCCTGCTGAAGGCGCGAGCGCTCGTGGCCTTCCACCAGGGCATCTACCCTGAGTTGTACAGCATCCTCGAGAGCCACAGCTTCGAGTCGGCCAACCATCCGCTGCTGCAGCAGCTCTGGTACAAGGCGCGCTACACCGAGGCCGAGCGAGCGCGCGGCCGGCCGCTGGGCGCCGTGGACAAGTACCGGCTGCGCAGGAAATTCCCCTTGCCCCGCACCATCTGGGACGGCGAGGAGACGGTGTATTGTTTCAAGGAGAAGTCGCGCAACGCGCTCAAGGAGCTCTACAAGCAGAATCGCTACCCTTCGCCCGCCGAGAAGCGGCACCTAGCCAAGATCACCGGCCTCTCCCTCACCCAGGTCAGCAACTGGTTCAAGAACCGGCGGCAGCGCGACCGGAACCCCTCCGAGACCCAGTCCAAAAGGTGAGCGCCAACTTTCCGCCTCCTCCCCCTTCCTCCCCCCCACCCCTTCCCAGCTTTCTTTTCCTCCAAGTGCTCGCAAACATGGCGCTTACCTTCCCCACCAGCCCGGTCTGGCTGCCCACCTCTCCCCGCCCCCCACCTCGCTTCCCTACCGGGAGGGGGACGCCCGGTGGCAACCAGCGCGGGGGAGGGATCCTCCCTCCTAACCCTCCCCCTCCTGCCCCCAGAAGTTTCTGGTCGCCCGACTAGGTCTCAGTCCCCGCCCCCACCTCGGCTGGTCACTGCTGCCCGGCTTCCCACCCCCATCCTGCTGCCTTTGAAGTTGCCACTCTCTCCTTGGTTCCCGTAGCGAGCGTGTGTGCACGCTGGCTGGCGAGGCTGCTCTCACCGCGGCTCCGGGGCCGCAGGGGCTGCGGGAGCGGGCCGGGGTCTCTAGCTCCTCCGGGTCGCTCAGAGCCTGGAGTGCGCACACGCTCCAGGATACCCTGGATTCGACTGAACCCCGAGCCCGCCCTGGAGGTCACCAGGGCCGCTCTGGAAGGAAAAGGAGCTGTAGTGGAGACTAGTGTCCCATATGGGGTCTGGGGACGTCGAGGCTTTAATATGACAGAGTTAATCATTCACCCTGCCCGCCGCGGTTCCCATCGCGTCGAGGGCAGCGTGGGGTGTCCGTGCAGCTCGTCCCTGCGGTGTTTTGAAACCTGATTCTGAACAAGTTCGGATCGGGTTACAGTGCTTCAGAGGTGGCGGGGTTGAAGGGCAGTTTCTTGGGCCCCTAACACCGCACGATTCGCTCCTGAAGGAGCAGTTGGGGACAGATGACAAGCTGGCGTAAGGTGGACATCAGGAAAGAAGTGGGGGAGCTATCCACTCAGTCCTCCTTCAGCCCCCACTCTATCTTGTTTGAACTTGATTGTCGGTGTTTTCTCCCTTCTTTAGTAGAAAATGCATTTTTTCACCCCTTTTGTGTGTCCTTTCAAGTCAGCCCCTTGGATGTGTATGTCTCTGCGTGTGTGTATTGTTGGACGGGTAAAGTTCGAGGATGGTGTCTCCCACCTCAGAGGAAATTGGAGAGAAAAGAATCCAAATACAATTCAAATATTCTGCACTGGGACGGAACCCGGGATCTGGGGAGCCAGTCCGCCTGGGCCAGGTGAAGGTGATCGCCCTGCGCATTCCAGAACCGGCAGCAGCTCGCCCTCGCTGCTTTGCCCCTGAGCCCGGGTGGAGCCCGGAGGCCCATAGCTGGCCCCAGGCAGGAGAGAGGCACACTGTACAGTCCTGGTCGTGGTTCCCGGTAACCATAAACAAAGCATGCCCGGCGACCTGTGAGCACCCTTCCTCGGTCTTGAGAGAGGGGGCCACCCAGAGAAGGAGCAATGGTTAGGTGATCTATGCACCCTGGAGTGCTCTGCAGGCACACCGAAGGAATCTGCTAGACCAGGACACTGGGTACGAAGCCCATGCCACATGCAGGCCAGCTGTCCTTCAGCCTTTGCTACGGAACCGGCCCAGTTCCCAGCACACACACACACACACACACACACCCTGAGCCATGCTCTGCTCTACTCCCCATTAACTCCACACCCTCAACCCCCAGCCCAATTGCCTGGTATAGGCCCCTCTCCGGATCTACCCCCCACCAGCACCCCTGGTGAGTCACCCTCACCAATGGCGACGGCTGCTCAGCCTCAGCTCGTAAATCAAAGCGCTTTCTGCGCTTCTGGCCCCAAAGCCCAAAGCCCGGGTAATCCCCTCCCCTCGGCTTGAAAGGGAACCGATCACACTGGGTTGTTGGATTCTCAGCTGGACCAAGTCCCACCACGCTTCCAAACTGCTTCTGTCCTGCCCCGCCCAGACTCAAACCAAATGAGGAAAACTTCCACTATTCATTCCTCCCTGACCTGAGCTTGTATTCCCTTAAATCCAGGATCCTGGAGCAGAAGGACTGAAGAGTCTGGGAAGGAGTCTGATAGTTATAAGACCACTGAGTGATGCTCACCTCTCCCTCCCACCTCACCAGGGCACTGAATGGTGTATGATAAGTAGGCTCCTATGGCTTCCTTTGGGTTCAAAGGCAACTGTACATATCTTGGGTTGCAAGTGTCTTTCCTACAAGGGCAACCACTTTGTTGAATGAGAATTGTCAGTCTGGTGGAGTAGAAGTTTGGGAGCAGGTGAGAAAATGGTCTCTTGTTAACTAACCGGCAAATGATACTGAACACCAAGGAGGGGGGTGGCAGTGCTTGCCTTTAATCCCAGCACTCCAGAGGCCGAGGCAGGAGGATCTATGAGTTCAAGGCCAGCCTGGTCTACAGAGTGAGTTCCAGGACAGCCAGGGCTGTTACACATAAAAACCCTGTCTCCAAAAAACAAACAAACAAAAAAGCTGAATGCCTCCTACCTCCTTTGGTGATTCCATCTACAAATGTGAAATAGGCTAGAAAGGTGTCCCCTAAACAGGGAAAAACAATATTTAAGATTCCTTTCTATGGCAAAGGTTGTAGTCCATTTAACAGTTGGAGAAGCACATGAATTCTATAAGAATGAAAACAATGTCATTTTAGTTGCATTTTATATTATCCAACCCTCTGATCTTTCTTTGATTTATTATAAAAAAAGATATTAGGATCTGGATTCATCTTCTCATTGTCTGGCTGGGTAGAATTTGCCTAAAACATCATAGTTTCAACAGGGCCAGCAGATAAACTGCCGTGCTTTGATTTAATAATGCTTTTAAATGGTTTTGAAGGATGTTTTACAAACTATATAGATTGTCATCCTCTTGACCTTCAAACTGTCTTCTCTCCCTGAACAGTGAATCAGACGGCAACCCCAGCACTGAAGACGAATCCAGCAAGGGACATGAGGATCTGTCTCCTCACCCACTATCGGGTGCATCCGATGCCACCTCCAACCTCAGTCTTTCTAGCCACATGGAGCCAGTATATATGCAACAAATTGGAAATGCTAAGATATCACTAAGCTCTTCTGGAGTTTTGCTGAATGGAAGCTTGGTACCTGCAAGTACTTCACCTGTCTTCCTTAATGGTAATTCTTTTATTCAGGGACACAATGGCGTTATCCTTAATGGACTGAATGTGGGAAATGCACAGACAGTGTCACTGAACCCATCAAAAATGTCTTCAAACATTGTGAGCAATGGCATAGCCATGACGGACATCCTGGGCTCTACCTCCCAGGATGTGAAAGAATTCAAAGTCCTCCAGAGTTCTGCTGTGAACTCAGCAGCCACCACCTCCTACAGCCCTAGTGCCCCCGTGTCATTCCCAGGGCTGATACCCTGCACTGAAGTGAAAAGGGAAGGCATCCAGACAGTGGCCTCCCAGGATGGGGGCTCTGTGGTGACGTTTACTACACCAGTGCAAATTAACCAGTATGGCATTGTCCAGATCCCTAATTCCGGAGCAAACGGCCAGTTCCTTAACGGGAGCATTGGATTCTCTCCACTGCAGCTGCCTCCTGTCTCTGTAGCAGCTTCACAAGGTAAAAGCCTCATTTGGTACCATAATGCACCAGGGCATGGGTTGGTCGGCTGCTATAAATGACACGTTAGTGAGAGGTATAGATTGATGCTATCGTTCAAACACTGCATTGGTTTACATGGTAACAGAATAGCCTTGATATGATAGATACCCTGTGTCTAAATACTATTCAGCTTTCCTGGTTCTCTTACATCATGAAGATGGAGTTTTATTTTCCCCAAACAGAATGGAAAAGTACAGTCTATAGCAGATCTTGCCAACTCTACAATTACAGGAATATGATAAGTCAGTCAGTGCTTATGAAATAACCCAGTACTTGACATTTTAAAATTAAAAATTAATAAAATTGCTAGGAACATAAAATTAGTTGAGCAGTTACTTATTTGATCAGAAAAAAATGTTTTAAAAGGATAAGCTAAAAGATAGAATCTATTCTTGTTTGCATTGTGTACTTCCTAGAGTTAATACTAAGACCTAAAAGAAATTTAGAAGACTCTGATTTTTCTGTTGTTCTAGATGTATGTTCATCTCAGCTATGTGGGTTTATACTTATGCAAACAACTGTGTCATTGCGTATTTGTGGCTTTACTAACCGAAGTCTGTTAGACAAAGAAAATAAGTCTGAGGTTGTCAGGAACATGAATAAAATCTAGATAACTCATCATTTTTTTCTATAGAGAAACAGGAGCAGTTACACTTGAGTATTGGACATTACATGGTATCTAGCTCTTAGGAGGGGAGATGGTGATGGTGTCTGCCTTTCTATAAGCAAATCTGAAAGTCCAGATTTTTACCAAAGGTTAACCTTCTGAAACATAGTCAACTTTTATCCAACTCTTGCTTCTATAGTTATAGTCTACTTCAACTTATTGGAGGCATTAATGAAAAATGGTAGTAATTTCATTCCATATATTTATCTCTCTTAAGTAAGCCACCATGGTCCTGTAACACACTCTTCAGATGTTTATTGCTTTATGTAAAGAGTTAACCCAAGTCAACATGTGTCTGATAAATTTGCATTTTAACTACTTTGTTCACAAATTTTACAAAAAAAAAAAAAGAGTTAACCCAAGTCACTTACAAACAAACAGACAAAAGACAAATGCTCCAGAGAAAGAAAAAGAGTTTAGTTTTACAATAATTTACAACTCTAACCAATTTTCCCTTTTTACGAAAATTTCCAAGCAGTTTGTAGCATTTTAAAGACAGCAAAGTATGAATATATATGTTGGTAGAGAAGAAATAAAACAATACTTTTCATCTGTAATCAAGAAAAGTGCTATCATATTAAAAGTATTATGAAGTAATAGCTAGGGGTTTTGGGGGAGGGTGTTGTTTTCTACTTTTTTTTTTTCTTGGTGTTTTTCAGGACAGGGTTTCTCTGTATAGCCTTGGGTGTCCTGAACCTCACTCTGTAGACCAGGCTGGCCTCAAACTCAGAAATCCACCTGCATCTGCCTCTGAGTGCTGGGATTAAAGGCATGCACCATCATCTGGCATTACCCAGCAATAGTTAGTTTTTAAATGGGATATTTACTATGAATATGAATGCATTGTCAGTTAAAATAGCTAAGATCAAATGACAGGGATATCAACCTTTGACTCTCTGAGCAAATTGAAAGCATAAGTTTAACCAGATGGTTCCAGTAGGCAACATTCCCTTGTAGTAATGGTGTATTACTCCTTGCAATAAAGTGTTTTGGGAATTTGAACTTAAACAAACAAACAAACAAAAACAAGATAGGGTGTGGTGGTAAATGCCTGTGATCCCAATACTTGAGAGATTGAAGCCAGAGGATTGGAGGTTCAAGGCCTGAGCTACATAGTGAGTTTCAAGTCACACCATGTTACATGGTGAGAGTCTGTCTTCAGAAAATACCAGTCAAATCAAACTTACACTAAACATTATTTAAAATGTCCAGAAACATAGTCCAGCCTTCCTAGATAGCTGAAAAAGTTATATAGGAGGTTACATGGAAAAACAGACTGTCTATATCTTTATTCATTTGAAAATCAAAGAGGGTTTTCCCCCCTCTTAGCATTGTTGTAAAATTATACTTTGTTCCTGGAATTTTTTTTTTGGTTGTTTTTTTTTTTTTTTGGTTTTTCGAGACAGGGTTTCTCTGTGGCTTTGGAGGCTGTCCTGGAACTCGCTTGGTAGTCCAGGCTGGTCTCGAATTTAACAGAGATCCGCCTGCCTCTGCCTCCCGAGTGCTGGGATTAAAGGCGTGCGCCACCAACGCCCGGCTGTTTCTGGAATTTTTAAGTTCAGTTTTTGTACTGATTTTTAAATCATTGTTTAATTTGTAACTCAACTGCAGCTATACTTTAAAATTATGTTTTAGCCAGGCATTGTGGTACATGCCTTCTTTAAGCCTAGCACTTAGGAGGCAGAGGCAGACAGATCTCTGTATTTGAGGTCAACTTGGTTAACTTAGTGAGTTCCAGGACAGCCAGGGCTACATGGAGAGACCCTGTCTCAAAACAACAACAACAACTCATATTTTATGTGAGGTCTTGGGTTCAACCCCCGATTACTGAAAAACGAAACAAAAACCATCCTTTGGAATAGATGTTTTCCCCTTCATTTATATATGTTGAAGTTTTTTATATGTGCAGTGTGCCAGTCTACTGTGCTTAATAGACAAATGTTGCAGATGCTGTTAATTATGACTGTCAAAAAAAGGAATCGTTTTGTACACATGTCTGCTAGTAAACAGTTTCACAGACACAGGAAAAGCAAAGTCAACATGGACTGTGGCTTTTCCCACCCTTACAATCCTGAAGCCTTTGAGACTTTTTTTTGTTTTGTTTTGTTTTGTTTGTTTTTCAAGACAGGGTTTCTCTGTATTGTTTTGGAGGCTGTCCTGGAACTCGTTCTGTAGACCAGTCTGGCCTCGAACTCAGAGAGATCCACCTGCCTCTGCCTCCCGAGTGCTGGGACTAAAAGCGTGTGCCAGCCCAGCTGCCTTTGAGACTGAAAATCACATTTATGTTAGAGAATAGCCCAAACATACACAGAAGTGTTTTTATCTTAACAGTCTTTCTGTGGTGCATACTTATGTACTAGTAGTTAGCATTTTTTAAAGGAGTTCAAATACAGTGTTTTCTCTTTTTTTCTCATGTAAAGACACTTTTGCTTATATATGGCACTTAAAAATGTCAGAAGACATATAAATGGCACCCGTTAACATAGTTGGTACTATAATCACAGTTACTCTAATAATTCAGGAAGGGCAATGTTGAGTGCGTTACTTAACTTAATATTGACTGTTTTCTGCACTCATAAAGGATTTGATTAACCTCCTACTCAAGAGCAGGGTAGATAAGTAGTAATCCATGCTAGTTCTTCCCCAGAACTCTTCCCAAACTCGCCTTTCCTTCGATGACAATATTTGGGGGCCTGGGCCATCATCTAATTGCCACCAGTTCACTTCATAAAGACTCAAAGGGGGTTTTATTTGATGCTCCTCATATGACCTGCTATTTTGTTCTTCTAGTCTCTTCTATTCTCCACAGACCATTATAGTGAGAGCCTCAAAAGACACACACCTTGCCGGGCGTTGGTGGCACACGCCTTAAGTCCCAGCACTCGGGAGGCAGAGGCAGACAGATCTCTGTGAGTTCGAGGCCAGCATGGTCTACAGAGTGAGTTCCAGGACAGCCTCCAAAACAATACAGAGAAACCCTATCTCGAAAAACCAAAAAAAAAAAAAGACACACACCTTTTAAAGAGGCATTCTTTCTACTCCTCTGTGTTCTTCTCTATTTTAAAAATAGTACTTCGGTGTTACCATTAATTCTTCCCATCCCTACAACCCTGAAAATTTAGAGCTAGCACAACGAAGGGAGGGTAAAAAAACACCTTGAGGGTCATGTTGACTGGAGACTGCTTTACTGGTGGTTTGGTGACACTCTGTAACTTGTCTGTACAAGTCGATGTGGTTTAACTTGTAAGTTCCAAAGCAACTCATCTTATGCTGTATTTCTGGCATTTTCCTTTACATCTTATGTCAGTAACTGAGCAGGCCTAACAGAAATGTTTTATTTTGTATCTATGCTCTCTCATTCTAAATGGCAGTGTTAGTGATTAAGAGGTGGTAATGAGCCAGAAACTCAAATATCAGAACTCGGACAAGAATTTATTTCTTCTCCTCCTCTTCTTCATTTTCCTTTTTTCCCCCCTCTGTGAGCCCGGGCTCAGATTCAGTCTTCCTGTCTCAACTTTATCCCCAGCGTCACATCCTTGCTTGCTTTGATTGGTTGGCTTTTATTTTTCTTTTCATTTTTGATGCTGCTGAAGACTGAATCCAAGGCCTGCGCCACTGAGCTCTCCTCTCCGGCCGTACACTTGCTTTCTCTTTCATCTGGTCATTACAATTACAGGGGGAGTTAACACATATAAACAATCTGGAAGAATTTTTGCCCAGTGTGTAGAAGGCCCTGAGTTCAATCACCAGCACTGCAAAGGAAATAAAAAATAGAGAGAGAGAGACAGCTAATCTGACTAAGTTCAGAGCCTTGGACTCTCCAGTGCCCAAGCTGGACTCAACTATACGTTTAAGTTCCACCCCTCCATAAATACTATACCTGAGGAAGAATCATGTGTGTTACAGAAGTAACTGGTTTGTTTGTTTGTTTTTTCTTCCTGTATCATTTGCATTAATGACAATCGGTACTTTTCCCCCTAGGTAATATTTCAGTAAATGCAAGCACTTCAGACGGAAGCACGTTTACAAGTGAATCCACCACAGTCCAGCATGGCAAACTGTTTCTGAGCCCTCTTGCCCCCAGTGCAGTGGTATACACTGTTCCTAATTCAGGCCAGACTATAGGAGCTGTGAAGCAGGAAGGCCTAGAAAGAGGCCTGGTTTTTTCTCAGTTGATGCCTGTCAATCACAATGCACAACTAAATGCAAGCCTATCTTCTGAAGATATCTCTGGAAGCGGCCTCCACCCCCTGGCCTCCTCACTAGTTAATGTGTCCCCAGCTCACAGTTTTTCCCTGTCTCCCCCTACACTACTAAATCCCACTGAGCTAAACCCTGACATTGCTGAGAGTCAGCCAATGTCTGCACCTGTGGCAAGCAAATCTACTGTGACATCTGTCAGCAATACTAACTATGCAACCCTTCAGAACTGTTCCCTTATTGCTAGTCAAGACCTATTGTCAGTCCCTATGACTCAGGCTGCCCTAGGGGAAATGGTTCCTACAGCTGAAGACACGGTGGGTCATGCCTCACCAGTGGCGGTACACCAGGATTTTGTCAGAGAACACCGCTTGGTTCTGCAGTCGGTAGCTAACATAAAAGAGAATTTCCTACGCAATTCTGAGAACAAAGCAACAAACAACTTAATGATGTTGGACTCCAAATCCAAATATGTCCTGGATGGCATGGTTGAAACTGTCTGTGAAGAGCTGGGAACCGACAAAAAAGAGCTGGCCAAGCTCCAGACTGTCCAGTTGGATGAAGATATGCAAGACTTATAAGCCTGATTCACTATGCGCATACCCCGCTTCTCCATCAGCAGCAACTCTTTTTTCCCTGTGAAGCCCTGAAGATGGAGAGGCTTTACTCCCTTAGAGGAAAGCGCTCTCCCTGTGCAAGCAAATGTACTTGGATTGATCTGCATGAAGATCATAGTTAAGTATACAGGAGTGGAACTACATTGCTGAAGCCTTTCTGCTCACATCAGTTCGCTTTTAAATACATGGCGACCAGGCAACAACTGAAGGGTATCAAACCATCGTATATCATTTAGTCAGCAATATAATTCTAAGGCTGAAATGGTACATGATAGTGTTTTAAAATGTATACACCTAACCCTGAAAACTCAGTAACAGCTACAGGCCGTTAGAAGCAATGCAGTTGTTTTTTGTTTACTTTTACTCCATGGGCATTGAGATGGTTAAGAAACAATGGCACTCCAGATTATTATAAGGGTATATTTTTTGAATTAAGTAGCTTATATATGTGTGTTTGTGTGTACATACACACATTCATTGTTTTCAGCATTTGGGGGAAAGGCTGTGCGTGTTTCCAAATGTGATTGCTAATCGTTAAATGTGTCAGAGAAGGTTTGAAACTCCACTAAACTCTGACACTACTTGGGTATGAATGTAAATATGCCAGTTCTATAAAGAGGATTTGAGTAAGTACGGGGAATTTTTATTTATACCATGTATGTCTCTTAGTCCTTAGGCGCTATGAACTGAAAAGAAAAATGTTTTCTTACTGTTTAATTTATATTTATTGTTTGAGCAGGAATAGGACATCTTTGTTTCCAACCAAGTTTTTTTTTTTCTTTTTTTGTGATTTTTTTTATCAAGAGTCTCTCAAGGTCAATGTTAACACTGAAACAGGAACTTTTAACCCCCAATACTGGAATTTTGGTACTTGTCGTCACATTTTTCTTTAGAAACTTTGATTCATTTAAATATGTTTTGTTTGTTTGTTTGTTTTGGTTTTTCGAGACATGGTTTCTCTGTGTTGTTTTGGAGGCTGTCCTGGAACTCGCTTTGTAGACCAGGCTGGCCTCGAACTCACAGAGATCTGCCTGCCTCTGCCTCCTGAGTGCTGGGACTTAAGGCGTACGCCATCAACGCCCGGCTCATTTAAACATGTTTTATATAGACTCCTATGTGCCTTTTTACCTTGTGGCCTTTTTGATTAGCAGTAAGGTGCAAAAGCATCAACAAAAGTGTTGCTGGCTCTCTTGCACTTTCAAGCAGGGTTAAGTTTACCACAGAGCCCCTTTGTATGCAAGGACTTAAGTCCCACTCAATATTATGTGGATGTTTGTCATACCAATGGATAAACAATTAGCTTTAATGCTTTTCGTTGTGATGAAAGTTAAAAAAAAAAAGTACGGAAGACCATGAAGATCAATTCTGCAGGTCGTGAATACAGCCATTTTAAAGTAGACAAAGTATACTTAAGTTGTACTAGGCAAACTTCCATCTCATTGAAGCTCCATTCTCAGTGTTTTGAATTAGTTGGTACACTGTGACACATGACTGTTGCCTGCCCTATTTTGTCATATCTCCATTACGAGCAAATATCTGTAGGATATTTCCTTGAATAATGTTGTCAGCTGCGTTTTAAAGTTTTAGCAGGACTTTGAACCCAAGATGTAACAATGCAAATACCTTCGTGTCATTAGTGCAGAGCATCTCAGATTTAAGAAAGTGATCTTTTCAACGGGGACTTTCAGTTGTTACACATAAAGATAAGACCACACCTTGTTTTCTTTAAGACGGGAAAGAACTGCATGATTTCTAACATGCTCCTCCCCATCTGAGTTCGTCGAGTAAGGGTCATCGAGTATTTAGCATTTGCTGTTATTACAGAGGGAACTTTCAGTCTACATAATGAGCCCTATGAAAAATTCCTTGCCATCATTTTGATTTAAAAAAAAAAACTTTAAGCTCCATTTTGTGAAATTGGTGAATGTCCCTCAATTGCTGAAATCCGTGGTTTGGACCCAAAGTTGTTTGTTTTGGAGTTTTTGTTTTGTTTAAACAAAGCCAGTTGTTTTAGTGTGGTCTTCCACTCGGCCACTGCTTACCCAGCTTGACTGTCCCCATCTCCCTTCCCAGCTGTGCTGATCATATTAATGTGATTGGTTACATGGTCTTGTAGTGTAGTTTACATAAAAATGATATTTTCCGCTAGACTGCTGCAGACATCAAGGGTTAGTTATTTTACAATACCTGTCTGGTAAGGGAAATGGGAGAGTCAAAAAGTTATATTAGGGGTGTGTGTGTGTGTGTCTGTGTGTGTATATGTGGGTAGGAGTGTGCCCTTGCACATGATGGAAAACTTTCATGTATCTGATGAAAATATCTCTTTTATTCTGAGTTCTTCCTCTTCTTCTCCCTTTGAAAAAGAAAAGATAGCACAAAACTAAATACTTACCTAGGAAATGCATTCATATTCCAACACGATGTACTTCTAATCCTACAAGTACTCCAGGTAGCTATACAATCCATCAGGTAAGAATCAGTGCACACTACAAGAACTTACTGTTCTTTTCTATTCTTTCAGTAAATCAGGGCCAGCTGATATGTAGCCCGTGTATATGTGAATGGAATTAGATAAACCCCATGGTCTCCTTACACAGAATTGCAACTGACTTTTTTTTCCCAATACCAAGGGCCAGCCTCATAGCCCTTGGAGTTCATGTGACAGAATATCCTTTTTCTATAAACAATGCTTGAAGATGCTGCAAATGACCCTCTGACGATTTGGGAAGAGGAGTCAGAATAGGGGTAAATAGCTCCCTTTAAATCTCAACCCCTAATGCTGGCTGTGGGAATTTTTGGTATCAGCCTATCTATGCACTCTACAGCCAGAACTGGCATTCAGCTCTTAGTTGCATCTAGTAGAGAGGATGGTGGAGCATTCAAAGGAGGTGCATTTCCCCCCCTCAAACAAGCAAAAGCACCTGTGCTATACTGCATAAATATCTCATGTACATTTGTAGTAAAGACTGACTTAGATGTGTTTTGGTGCCTTTCTTGTGTTGTGAAAGGCAGATAGATGTTACAGTCATAGGTTTTTGTTTTGTTTTTTCTAAATCCATAGTTGTATTGCACACTGACCTTAACTCTCTCTGTATGCTCCCTTGTTATCCTGCATGTTACAGTTGGATTATTGGGCATGTGTAGCAGACTGCCTTGCTACATCCTCAATATGTGTGCATTAGTACATAGCCACAAATCCTTCATCCTTTAAAATGTTTGTCCGATCATCTCATGAAAATAATTCAGGAAATCTATGGGGAAAATAATTATATTTTACAAAAGCTGTTTCCAAGTCTTCCTAAAACTTAGATTATAGAACCTAATGGTTATTTTGAGTCTAATTGATACATTTCAATTTAATTAAATATTACCACCATATATTTTACTAATTGAAATTATATAGCATGTGACTCTTGGCTTTCAGGGTTTCTCAAAAATATGTACCATTTTGTTGCATGTACTGTATGTATAGAGGCAACCAGTTGTAGACTCAATATGGTTTTACTGTGCCTTACATGAAGAGAAACTCTACAGAATGTATAACATGGGGTGGGGAACGGAGCCTCTACTGCACTGTTAGGTGATGGCACACAGCATGTCCCAGAACATTTCTGTGCTTAATTACCCAACCAAAGAGATCTAAAGTCTGTATGTTGTACTGTAATGGGGGGTTATGCCTGGACAATTAAGTGTTTTATTTGTTTTCTGAAATGATGTGAACTTATTTTTCTAAACACTATGCTAAATAAACTTTATATTTATACATAACTTGTGTTTAAAAAATTATTTGAGGAATATTGTTCTTTAAAATGTGAGTAACCCACTGCAGTCAACAAGAAATACTTCTGATTTAAGTATACCTAGAAAAGCAAAGAGTGAGAAAACACAAGTACTTCAGCTGGCAAAACCTTAGAAGGCCCATTGGAGTGATTTTAGAAAAGTAATCTGTGTTGGTCTTTGTACAGAATAGTGTAGCTCTCTTAGCTGTCCTACACACCCAAAGCTAAACCACAGAGTTTATCCTTATATAGGCAAGATACCTTACTCCTTTTTGTCTCCCGAGAGCTGGACTTGGAATGAGGCACACAGTAGGTACTTTACAGGATTACATGGAAAGAGCCAAAGATCTTTCTATTACTGACTTGATTAAAATTTGAGCTCTGTTGCTCAACTCTACGCACTGATGTTGGCCAAGTTTTGTGATTATAGATTTGGCCAGAACTGCATTTCTATTGAGTGGAGAAGATTGAGCAGTAATCTCGTTTGGTCCTAATTTTATAAGGTCTAAATTCTATTCTTCCACACCAGCACGGAAGATGTTTAAAAACAGATTGGGAACTAATTGTACAGCTCTTTCACAAATCTGGTTAAAGCCATCAAGTTAGTGTCGGGTGGAATGTCTAGACACATTCTTATCGTTCGGCTCATTTGGCAGCTCTGTGTAGTAGTTAAACCAGTTAAGCACGAAGTGAAGTGATTACATTTCATAACTTTTTAACCAAACAAGTATTGTAAAACATTTGAAAGGGTGGTTGCCCTGTTTCAACCATGTTTGTGGCTCCTCAGAAAATAGCAAATCCCAGAGAATTCAACAGGAATTCAAAGCCCTTGGCTACCTGGCTCCATCCTGCTTTTCCCGTGTCCCATAAGAAATAGTACATTTGGAAGTTTGTGCTTGCACACCCACTCCCAGGACACCTTGGTGGCATATAAGCAGGACACATTTCCATGCATAAAGGTCAGTACCATCAAAGTAACAAGCACAGTGGAATTGCAGGTGGGGAGTGGTTGGGTGGGAGACAGATTGGACATGAATGGTCTGAGCAAGTACCCTTCTGGCAGTGATGTTTAAATGATATGATTCAGAACTAAATATAAGAGTGCTCCAACACAAGGGTCAGACATCAGGTTTAACGTTCCTGAAAAAGAAGCAGGTCTCAATTAACTTTAGGCGTGGTTGGTGGAGTCACTGGAAGGGATGCAGGGGCCACATCAAAGGTAGAGTCAGACACTTTGGATTTGAGTCTGATAAACATTGGTGGCTTTTAAGCAAGGAGTCATAAGGATTTGCACTTTATAAAATGTCAGTGTGGCTACTCTGGAAAATGAACTTGAGGACAAACGGCAGGAACTGGGAAACTACTGCAGGGTTGTCCTGAGTCGTCTGGCAGGAAATAGTCAGGAGGCCTGGAACAGCAGGGAGGGCCATTTGCCCACAAAGGTCTCCAGAAGGGTATGTCCTCTAGGCACTCTGCTGCGACAAGCCAAAGTCACTCTGTCTCCTGAAATCCAGGCTGGTGGGTTCAGGATCCTAATGGACATTTCCAGAATGTCCTCATCCTACCTGTGAACAGGGGACCCACCTTCTCCCGAGGCCTTGTAGTTTTGTTTCAGGCTAGGGATAGTCTCAGCCTTGTACAAGCTAGGACGTGCTCGGAGGAGTCTCCCAGCCTCCAGGGCTGCCTTTTTATGGCCCCTCAAGCTAATTTCTTCTCCCTGGCTAGAGTTCGCCCCTGTCTTCATTTCCCTACTGAATTACTGCAACTGAGTCTCCCTGGTCTCCCAGTATCTGCTCGCCACTTAGGCCACATTACAGCTGCGTGGAGACGGGACATTCAAAACTTAGAGACATAACCCAACTTAAAGCCTCGGTGATGCTGTTATCTAAGAAATAGCATTTAAACCAGGAGCATACAACGCCCAAAGTCCACATAAAGGTCTTTCCTGGAAGCGTCAGATTCTTTACATACCTGGTCTCAAGAATGGCAGAATGTCACACGTCTCCCAGGAAGCAGCACCTCACCCCCTCCCTCCTATGCAGAATGACAAAGGGCCTTTTCGGAGATCAAACTGATCTATCTTCCTTCTCTTTTCTTTTCCTTTCTTTTCTTTTCTTTTTTTCTTTCTTTTTTTTTTTTTGAGATTGAGAACATTCTAAAATTAAACTATGCCTACATTTCCATCATCTTTTAAAGCCATTTTACTGATATAGGAACCTTGTAGTTCAAACATTATGTCTACCCCCGACCCCTGACCCCCAGTTCTGGGGACAGTAACAAGGACTTTTCATATGCTAGGCAAGTGCTAACACCACTGAGGCACATTCGACCCTTATCACCATTTAAAGCTCAAAAACCAATCAATACGTTTAGGGACAGAGTCTGAGTGGCTCTTTGAGTCTTCCAGCATTAGTGGATGGTTTTTATGGTAATTGTTTTCCTTACTGCTCCAGAGATTTTTTTTTTCACTCACTTCCAAGTTTGAGGCTGGGTTCCAGATGCCTTAGGTCTGACAGACAAGAGCAGCATTAGCCAAAAAGAATGTGTTCACTGGGCCATCTTAGGCCAATGTCTCAAATAGCACAGAAGAGCTGTTGGTACTTATGTATAGGTACACTTTCCAAACATGTTTTCTGTAGATAGACCTGTACTAGCAGCTGAACGGAGTAAACACCTACGGAGTCTGTGAGAAACAGTAAGGGAAATGAAGAGGCATGCATCAGAAATGTAAGTTCCCACTTACCCTAGGACTTGTTCACCTCTCTTGACTCCATTGTTTTTTGCTAATGAGACATCAACTATTTTGAGACTACTTGAGATCTGTGATGTCTGAAGGTGTATATAACAGATATATGTAATGGCTTAATAAAGCACACATCACAGCATTGAAGTCAAACCAATTCAGGATTAAAATGCACGGTGGCCAAGGGCAACAGATTTAAAATAAAATGATTGGGGCCTGGAGAGATGGCTCAATGGTTGAGAACACTGGCTGTTCTTCCAGAGGACCTGGGTTTAATTCCCAGCACCCACACGGCAGCTCACAACCATCTGTAACTCCAGTCCCAGAAGATTCGATGCCCTCTTCTGACCTCCACAGGCTCCTGCATGAACGTGGTGTGCACATGTACACTCAGGCATATACACAGACACATACAAAAATGTAGATATACTTAAAATGAAGTGACTAAGTTAAATGATTGCTTCTGAGATCAGACAAGATCCGGTGCGTTCAGGGTGGTATGGCCGTAAACAAGTTAAATGAGTGCTATGAGGTCAACAATCTGATTCTTTGAGATGAAATATTCAAGGTGTACAGCTAGACAAAGCAGGCCCAGTTTTCAACTTATCTCCCTCCTTCCCCAGTATCCACCTAGTAGACTCGCCTTCCTTGGTTACCTCCCTGCTACCCCCAAATACATACATGACCATCTGGTATTGGTGTTTAGCCGTTTGAGGTATGATGAGCCCAACACAACCTGGGTGGTGTGTCTGCATTCTGGAAAAGTTTGAAGTGCAAAGCACCAAGCTGTAGCAATGTATGACATGGTGAATTAATAAATGAAGAGCAGCACATCGCCCTTGTAAGGACTGCAGCAGACCGGGAGGTGGGAACGAAGGGATGGGTAAGCCGGGGAACACGGAGCAAGTCACTCTCTGTCCTCCCTCTTCCTTCTCTGTGTGCTCCACTTCCTACTGGGTATGAAGGGCAAGCAGCGGAATGTAAGCTTGTGGGTCTTCTGAAAACAACAATAGTTTCTCCCAGCCCAGAGCCTAGCAAAATCCCAGGAGATTCCTGTGTTGAAATGATAAGTCACTAACAATAATTAAAGCATAAAATAGCTGTAGGAAAACAAGGGTTCTTTGATTCATCTCCCCTCCCCTTCCTTCCCTCCCTCTCTCCCTCTGTCTTTCAAAACAGTTGACTGTGTGTGTGTGTGTGTGTGTGTGTGTGTGTGTGTGTGTGTGTGTGTGTTTGAGTGTAGGCCTTGGTGTACAAAGGTCAGAGGACAACCCTCAGGGGTTACTTCTCTCCTCTCTCTGTGGTGGACAGGCTTGCAGACGTCTTTACCCAGAGCTATCTCACCAGCTCTTTTATTTTCTTTTTTAAAGCCCACAGAGCTCCAGATATGTGAGTGTTTGCCACCATGCATGTGACCCTTGAGTCAATCCCCAGTGTCAAAGGAAGGACAGGGAGTGCAAGTTACATAATTATAAAAATATAGTTTAAAATATTTTTACATTTTATTTGTGCATGTATGTGCATACATATATATATATATATAGAGAGAGAGAGAGAGAGAGAGAGAGAGTGTGTGTGTGTGTGTGTGTGTGTGTGTGTGTGTGTCCCTTCTCTCCTTCCACCATGTGGTTCAGGAACTCAAGTGATCAGGCTTGCATGGCAAATATCTTTACCAGCACAGCCATCTTTTTTTTTTTTTTTTTTTTTTGGTTTTTCGAGACAGGGTTTCTCTGTGGCTTTGGAGGCTGTCCTAGAACTCGCTCTGTAGACCAGGCTGGCCTCGAACTCACAGAGATCCGCCTGCCTCTGCCTCCCGAGTGCTGGGATTAAAGGTGTGCGCCACCAACGCCCGGCTACCAGCACAGCCATCTTGCTTGGCCCCAACAACATACTTCCCTAGCAAGTGTGAAGTCTTAGGTTCAATTGCCAGAACTACTCCAAATTTTTTTTGTTGGAAATTAGGAACTATTTTGGACCAACACACACACACACACACACACACACACACCACTAAAAATTTTAAAAAGAAAATTAGAGAATACAAAAATTTGTTTTCTCATTTTCTTTGTTGTTTGGTTAGTTTGGTTTTTTTTTTTTGTTTTTGTTTTTGTTTTTTTTTTTCACTATGTTGGCTATGCTGGCCTCAGATTCACTGTGTTGGCCATGCTGGCCTCTGCCTCCTGAGTCCCACCATATTTGACTTTTCAAAAAAAAAAAAATAGGATTACAAGCATAGTGAGCCCTGC